TTCTTAGTCTTCATCTTCTTTGAGACTGTTTTATCTTGATAGTTTCATCGAGGTGATAACTGATATCCGATCGCTATCTAATTATTAATAGCCCGAACCTCTCTGTATAACCGCTATTCAATTAAAGACATAAACATTTAAGTAACACTCTTAAAAAATACATAAAAGGAACAGAGAAAAATTGCATTTTCTTTAACTTGACGGGTTCTAAATTAAGTTTTATATCTAAAATTTAAAAAAAAATGCTTCTGTACTAAATAAGCATATAATTAATTAAAAAAGAATTTTAAGAGGAATATTTTTTTAAAATTTCCGTCCAATAAATATGATAAAATATAATTAATTGAAAAAATGGAAAAATTATTTTCTTTAATAATATTTGGTTTCCTTTTTTAATTTTACATTTATTTAATGTATAAAATATATACACCTTCTCCTATTTTCCTTCGTCGTTATTTGTGGCTGGTTTGAATCCAAAATAGGCGAATGAACAGAAACAGGAAAAAAAAATGCATTCGAAAAATGGGAAAATAAAGAAAAAGAAAAGGAAACAACAAATGAAAAGCATTCGGATACGGAAAAAAGAAAGCACGAGATTAAAAATACACAGAGCGTAAAAGTAAAAAGATTCTCAAAATCTCTAATCAGGTACCGGGTCGGGGATATTCTAGGGAAAAAAGGGGAGAGGGGAAAAGAGAAAGAGAGAAAAACTTGGCAATTTTCCAACTCGGTCCGGAGATTCTAGTGGTGACGTCATGGCACGCTAGATCCTCGTTTATTTCCGTTTGGTGGTAGAAATAGACATCCGGCCCCGTCGGTCGGCGCACCCTCTAACAGCCTGCGGGGGTGCCAACGGTGCCAATGGCAGAGTTCGTGCAACCTTGAATTGCGCCGCATCTGTCCGGTGCACACGGAGCGGTTGTACGCTATTTGTATTTGACACCCGGTCACGTGATGCGCCGATAACCATCCTTTAAAGATCGATAGTCAAATCCGAAAGAATAGACTTATTCCGCGAGATAGGGAGAACGTTTCTGCAAATCTTTCTCGGAATGTGTGAAGAAAAATTCGAGTTACGGTCTCCAATTGATCTTTCTAGATTACTAGGTGTTAGGGTGCGCTCTTTATTGCAGTTTTTCTAAACCTCTCGTTCTCTTCCTTCTGTTTTTAGCTTCTTCTTTACCGTTCTATTGTTGTTATTGTTGCTATGGTAATAATTATTTCCAATTTTATCGAGGAGACTGCGATGACGTATTTATTTATTTTCGGTTCGAGTCTCGTCGTTTTAATTAAAAAAAATTAAAAATTCAGAATTGGCAAATAATCCGATTGGGGTGAAAAAGAAAAATGCATCCTGGAAATCCGTGACTTGTAGTCTTCCTGTCGTGACGTCATTTCCAATTATAAGAGGAAGTGCAATGTTTGTATCTATCTCTCACATTTCCTGAGGAAAAATTCGTTACTCAAACAAGTTCAACGAAGTTTAATTTTTAAATATTTATCTCAAAGGAGCTACAAAAAAAAAGGAATGAAGGTGCGTGATACTCATTCTCCCCTCCTAAATGTGAAGAAATGAGAATCATCCAAGTAACATTTAAGAACTTTTCTTTTGATCGATATATCTTTATCCACTCCGCTTACTTCTGAAAAACGTTTATTTCAACGTTATATATATATATATATATATATATATATATACATACATACAAGAGGATGCTCTATAAACTTGCAAGGAGTGATTACAGAACTAAATTTTAGAATAAATCATGGTTTANTATATATATATATATATATATATACATACATACAAGAAAAATGGGTTTAAACGTCATAGAAATTACGTTTTATACGTTTCCTATCGATTAAATATAATTGGAGAACATTCAGATTTAAGGTAGACATTTAATACTTTATTTGTATAACTAACCGGACGTCATCGTAACTGTGGTTACTCTATAAAGATATATATGTATATATAGATTATAAAGAAGAAAACGTTAAAAAGCATTAAATCGTGTGTAGGAAGATTGTTAGCTTTTGAAAAAACACAACGCCCCTCGACACAGTGTATGCTGCCTACGTCATCTTTCTAGATACATTCTTAACAGTAAAAACCAGTACGAGGTTGTTCTTTTAAATAGATACGTGACGGGGGACATGTTAAATGACGTCAGGAATCCGTTGCCGAAGTTTTTGTACATTTAGAATCGGACGAACAGACTAACAAACTCCCCGTCGAGAAGTATACGCGTAGTTGCTTATAAATAGTCGTATTAAGACGTAAGAAATGTTTTTCATTCATTTAAAGGGCAGAAACAGATAACAAATCGATCTTCTGTCGATCGAAATTAAATATAATTAGAATTTTATGTAGTCCTTTCTACTTTGGTCATAACACGGCAATAATGTAACGCGCGTAATTTGAGAATAGGATATTAAAAAAAGGAACAAGAAAAAAGTTGTTTACATCCAGCAAATACAGTTTATAGCATTGAACCATAGTAACAAACGGAGGCAAACGCAGCCACCAAGGTCGTACGACATCCTGCAAGCCAAACTACGATTACGTCATTCGGTGCAGGCGTTCTGCCGTGACGTCACGCAAGCGGGATGGGTCTAGAGCACGCGCGGTGTAGCAATGCGGTGCGATGACGTCATCGATGGTGGGCAAACGTTTGATTGGTCAATAACCCTTTTTTTTTTAAAAATACACGCGTTACGCTAATGATGTTTTGGCAATTTTTTAAAATTAATTATATTACCACGACATTTTTCTAGTGCAATATTTATTATTTCTCTTATAAGTCCGATTTTGAAACGGTACAGGTGGTCAATGATGTGGTAAACACCAGCCATCCACTCGTAAAGAGAGAAAGAAAAAAAAAACACCTGCCGAAGATTTACAAGGACATCGTAGTGGAGATCTTTCGACATCAACTCACACACGAATGTTTACATATATACGTATATATATATATATGTATCTTTTTGCTCGTGTTTCTAAGAATTTGCAGCATGCTATTCTATGTATACGTCGTATTATCAACCACATATCCCGTACGACGGACTATTTTCGTTTCGTCATTCTCCTCAACCGTTAGAGCAGTAACTATTTAAGATTAATTTGGCGTTATTCCAACCATCTCTAAATTTTTCTTATTCCTCGTTTATTTCGCCATACTCCGTTAAATTCGAAAAAACGCATCTTTCATTTTTTCCCACCATAAAAAAAAGTAACGTAGAATGAATGCATGCGACACGTGATCGACAGGAACTCGGAGTCCGTGACGTTGCCGGTTACTGGGGTTTGACCTGACGTCAGATAAATCGGTGACGTCACACGGTCGTCGAACTGACGAACAATTACTTTCTGTGAAAAAAAAGGAAAATGGATAATGACCGTTTGATCGTTAGAGGGCGAAAATCAAAGCGTGACTCTATATAACCCCCCCCCCAATTTGAGACCGATATAGAACGAAACCTACAATTATATAAAGGGGTGGTAATTCGAAGCGTTTTAAACAATTCGAACAATGCAATATATATATATGTGTTATATATATATAAACGTATATATAGTTTATGCGTATAGTCTGTATATTTCCTGGTTTAACATAATTCAGAAGCAGAATACTGTATGTGTATTTAACTATTTATCTTGGAGAGATAAAAAAAACTGGAAAAATATTAAAACAGTATTTATTTTTAATCAATTTTTGTATTTTGCAACTACTGATAATTTATGTTGTCGGTACTATCTGGTTCTTAAAGATAAAAGTCATTAAAGACGATAATGCATCTGATGTCATGCGATAAATCAAACGGGATAGGTATCCATAAGACAAATATTGCTACAAAAACTTCCTCTTGGCCTACAAGAAAAACAAAAAACGAAAGTAATGCAGTGAGAATTATCGACGAATTAATTATATTTACATTATAAAAATTCCAAGAAAATTATGATTTAATTTCCATGCCCCTTACTCGACACGTATCAGATTTCCTTGGCAGAATAAGTGGTCGTATCGTATTATCCGGTATCGAATTCGTTATAAAAGTCGAGCGAAACAAGATTGCACGGTATATTGTTGCAGGATAATTAGGTCATGCAATCACTTCCGTTTTGATAATGTCTGCACCGTAAAATTTTATTTATTAATAAAGCAATAAGCGTTACGCTATTAACGATCTTATAAAAATTATACCCGTAATTATTTTTACTTCAGGGACATGGGACGAATTAAGTCCAGACATCAGACAGTCCGGATATTTTTAAAAAATAAAATAAAATAACACGCACTTGGAGATTATAACGCTATCTTCTGAATTAAATTCTGATAAATATCCTATTCTAAAACTTGTGTAAACTGCGGTATCGATAAAAACGATGATAAAACTAGTTACAAAAGAACACGTTCCGAGACCACGAAGGACTTTCTCATAAAAGGGAACGTTTTTCTTATTCGTTCCGGTATCGATAATATAAATGAGAGAAATGAGAACGGAATTCTCGAATAAGGATCTATCCTTGAAATTAATTATGGAAGAAATCTGATTTAGTTTGTATGCCCGAAACGTATCGAGCGCGCTTAATACAAGCCTATAGAGTAAGAGGACGACGACGACGACGACGATTATTTTCTCTTCCTTTCTTGCTTTCCTTCTTTCGACTTTTCCTAATTATTTTAGTCGATAACGTTCTCTTCGCTGGTAATTTCGTCATTATTAGATACGTTATCCGTCCTTCTTTCTTCACCGCTACGTATCGATAGATCAATGTTGACGGATAACGAACAGTTTATAATCGGTGATTCTATCTTTGTCAAAATATTTCGTAATTGCATAATATAAATCTTCCAAGTAAAAATATCTAAGGATAAAAGTGAAGAATTTTATTTATATATTATAGAATATGTCCTTTTAGAAAAATAAACAGGTTTGGGGGTGAAAAAATACGAAATTAACAAATGACATGGAAATCGAANCTGGTTTTTTTCTTTCTTTCTTTCTTCTCATTTTTAGGTCGAATCTAGGATCAGTGGTCTTATGGAATTCGCGCATGCTCGGTAATTATTTTAATGCATCGAGTTTTCTCGGCTTTTTAACCGGCAAAATGAAAGCGCCGGCAGAGACCAGACTCGAATTTCGAAATGTTCGTGCATAAATAATCCACCAATCGCCAGTAAAACTGACAGTTTTGTATTATTAACCGACACTTATATTTTAGAAGGTGTCGAAAAATAAAAGTTTCGCTTAAGACCCATTTTATTGCCACGGCATGGTAAAGCGCAAGTGTTACGGCGCAAAGAATTTCAAGTATTTAAACAGGTGAAAAACCTGTTGCATTTAATAATATTTGTTTTTAGCCACGCACCTGGTTAATTTATCGCACCGCATTCGTCCGATTTTATTATTTCTGTCCGTCTGGCAATTTTATTGCATTTAATAATTAACCGCCGTTGCTAAATAATCGTCATTTAAAAATATCAGGATAGGCGCATTTTTCCTTTCCTTTTAAATCAAAATAAAGTTTTAAATCCTGTTTTACGGGCTGGGAGTTAAATTTTTGCAGATAATTGTATACATTTCTCGAATCTCTGGGGATTAAACGATACCGGAAAGCGTATTAGTTTGGTGATTTTAATGTTGTCTTGTTTTTTTCAGCTTTCAATGCCATCAATAACGTCAGCACCACATCGGCCAGCACCGTGTCGCCATTAAGCAACTGCACGACAACTCCGCCAGATGCCAGCAGCTCTTCGGGCCCAACTCAGAACGGACAATCACCCATGGCATCTCTGATGTCTGTCACCGACAATCTCCCACCCGGATCGCCGCGTAACAGCGAGCAAACGGCCACTAACAGTAACAGCAGGCCCGCATCGGCCACATCCCGCCATTCGCCCAATAGCACGGCTCCTCCCACCGGCAAAAAAACCCCGTCGGGCGGCCGCCATAACGTGGGCACCGGCGATTCTGAAAGCATCACCACAACAACTAGCGTCCCGTCTACCACCGCTCCCGCGGATGCACCCCTTCCGGCCGCTCCCCTGAAATGCACCCTGTGCAACGAGAGGTTGGAAGACACACATTTCGTCCAATGTCCGTCGGTACCGCACCACAAATTCTGTTTCCCCTGTTCGCGCGAGAGCATCAAAAGTCAGGGTGCGGCCAACGGTAACGAAGTTTACTGTCCCAGCGGCGAAAAGTGCCCGTTGGCTGGATCTAACGTTCCTTGGGCTTTTATGCAAGGCGAAATCGCTACCATCTTGGGCGAGGAATTCAAGATTAAAAAAGAACGCGAAACTTAAAAAAAAGATCCTCGTTGGAATTTGGTCTGAAAAAAAAATATCAACGGCACACACGTAATTCCCATGCGAAATGCGTGCTTTGATAACGCTTTCGATTTTACGGTTTTCTCCATCCGCTTCCGTTATTTTTACTTAAGTCGGACGGAAGTTGGGTGAAAAATTCGGCTCGACTCGAAAGTCGTAACGCCGTACAATATACAGTAGAATTGACGGGAAAGAATTAATAAAAACACACACCGTAACTCGATTTTTTTGCAGTTCCGGCCGGCAGAATGCTGAAGTGTTACGGAAGTATGCGCGAGATATTAAAAAGGTCATCGTGTTCTCTCAATATACATTTCTCTCTTAAAATCTCTCTCTATCTATCTATCTTTATCTATCTATCTTTCTCTAGTTCTCTCGTCGTGCCCCCATCCCTCGGCATGTATATCGTCAGCCATACGTTTCTTTTTGCGACCAAGGATACAAAGAAAAACAAATTACGTCCAGTCGCGCTAAATTTTTGAATGTCGTGTTGTTACATTTGACGGATTTAATCGCTTTTACGTGTTCGTGAGCAATCGGGCAGCCATTTTTTTTATTTAAAAAAAATCTTCGTGCGCCCTCCATCTTTCTGGGAAACTCCGTCAATAAACTGTTATCGTCTCGGAAGTGTCTGGTATTTGTCGTCCCCGTTCTCACCTGTACAGATGTTTTACTTTTTTTTTTTTGGACACCCCCTCTAAAAGGCGTTGTTGTCTATAGGAGTATTTCGATACCTCTCGAAGTGAGAGATTTTAGAATTAAAAAAGAAAATCGATCTCTCCGGTTTAATATCGACCACTGACGTAACAGTTGCCGTGTACGAGTGTTTTTCCGTTTCTCACTGGGGAGGCAGCTCTGTCGTCTCGCTAGTCACGTGATCGCCGTGTCCCAAACTCGATTCGTCTGGTCTCAAAACATAAAAAGCCAATAAATAACGGTAATAAAGCTGTTGGGTGTAGTTATGTTCGAGTCTTTCCCCTTTATTGTGTTATGTATGTCAAGTTTTTAGTAAAAAAAAAAAGGAAAAAATAATGATAAACTGGGGAATTCTCTTGTATTCGATGTTCACATGTGATGACAATGATGAACGTGTTTATATATATATCGTCTTGTAAATAAAATGACAGTTCTTTCGCCAAGAGACTGCTTTACAATTCTTTTCTTTCCCTCTTCGCGTTTTAATTCAAGTGTGTAATTTACTATACCGGCCACACGTGTACGTATAAATCACTCGATTTTTAACTTGTACCGTTGTAATTCGAAACATTAGAGTATTTTTTTTTTTTAAACGTTGGTATTTTTATAATAATAAATAACGGTAAAATTGAGTGTTTTTTTTCCGTGCGCGTATTAGATGCATGTGACGTATTTTTTTGGATGTTTGCCATATAATTATGTGAGTAGAATAGTGTTCACTAAACCAAAAATAAAACACTGTTCGCTAGAATATTTTTCGTGGTAAAATATATAAATTCGAAGAAACCGAAGGTAAACTATAATTACGTAAAATTCGGTTACAAGAAAGCACACATTCCTGCCCTTATCTCTTGTGCAAATTCGTAGAACGTGACACGCTTACCAAACTATTATACCTGCATAGATATACGAGATATATTGGAAACATGTTGGAAATTTATACTTGGCGCATAATAATTTACCTATCTGTTACCGACGTTATCTGATAGTTAAGATTTATATATATATATTTTTTTTTTTTCTTCTTGGTATTATCCAAAAACTATTTGCGTCACGTGACCTACGGATTGCTTGTGTCACGACCATTCGAATTAAGATGATGAATTAGCCGTTCCAATTCGATTGCAACGCGTGACTCCACGTTCTTGCAGATTTCTCTCACGATCGGTGACCGAAATAGATGACTCAGGAATGCCGTCATGTGACCAGAAGCAAATTGATCGGGAGGGTGACCAGGTGCGCCTGGGATTTCGAGATCTGATCGTGTGGTTGATGATGTCAATATTTCCAAGGAAGCATTTTGTGGCAATTGCGCTCTTCTCGGTAAACTGATGTCATTGCATTATTTCTAAACAAGGCCCGTAGAAAGATTATCGCTTTTTTTAATGTTTGATGAGGCGTTTTCAGGTAAAATATTATTGAATTTTCGGGAATTTATATAAGACATATTTTGCTTTCGGTGGTTTGCTTACCTCTTATACAGAAACTCTTAATTCGACAATGCCCCTCTCTAACGCGAAAGGTAATGTTTTGATATTAGTAAGATGCCTGGTAATCTCTTCATTGTATTTAATTATCGATATCGTCGGGTTTTTTAATGTAATTACCATAAAAAAAAATTCTATTTAAATTTACGAGTCTGAAGTTGGAATAAACATATCAAAAATTTAAAAGTAGAGATAGAAATCTAAACTTATTTTCGAATACAACGATGCCATTGACCCTGACGTTCCAAATTTCGTTTATTTTTATTAACTAAAACTTGGCCCATTCTTTGGAAATTCTTCTTACGTTTGGCACGTGGCAAGGTAAAATTCGAATTTATGTTACGTAGATAAATTAGGAAGATGGTTAAAAATACGTGACGTCACCGTTATCTTAATAACTCATTTTATAAAAAGAACTTGGCTCGGTCAGAAAGTAATCAGTTTTAAGTGCAAGTATAGGTACAGTACATTGATAAACGAACGCCGTATGAATTTTGCAATAATCGATTAATAACAAACATCAAACAAAGAATAAATCAACGAATTCAATTAAAATTGATGCCGTATTTTTCTTCTATTTTATTAATACGCTTTTATATTTTTATTACATAAAACTAAGCAAAAAAATTCGCGAATAACTTCGATAAATTTTTTAAGAGGCAAAAAAAAACAAAAAAAATCGATTTAGAAACTCCCACCAGAGGGCAATGCACGTAAGCGTCAGACGGCGACCTTCCCCGGTTGTAATGGAACACGCCTGGTGACGTCACGTAGTTGTCGCCTACCGCGTGAATGGAGAAGGTCGAACCTTGAACTGCCGACGTTATATTTCAAACGAGAAGGAAGTAAACTTAGTAAAGCGGACATCTGTCACGCATAAATCGAGTTAATTGATAAACAAAGGCCGAAATAATGCGCAAAATCGATTCCGTTGCAGATGCGGTTACTATGCGACCGAACGTGTGATATCATCTCTCTCCCCGGCGTATCATTGGTAGTCCGATCACGTGCTAAACACACACGATAACCTATCACCTTGTTGTCTCGCCTCGTACCAATTTAAGTAACAGCGAGGTCGTATCCCTTAGACAAACAAGTGCCTCCTCTATCGAAGGATGCGAGACTTCGTACTTCTACATCACAACCGTTTGATTGCGTGTTGATGACCTTGAACGAAAGCGCCTGCACGTGGTGAATAACTACCTCTACCGCATCTTCCCATTGGTTAATTCCTACGTGACGTTTCGGTCGGTACATATTTTTGAAACGGAGCCGTTTCATTGGATAATATTTAAAAAAAATTAAAATTAGAAAAGAGAACACCGCCGTAAAAATAATTAACTTTTAGTAACAATAAATATCATTTTATAGTTTAGTGACGTAACGATTTTAAAACAAAAAAAGACACTAGAGTAACACGATTTAGGTCAGGTTAGAAAACAAATAAGGTATTGTGCAAGAATTTGAATTTAGAGAACAGAACTAAAGTTACGATGTCTATTAATAAATTCATAGCACGTCCGCGCGTTTTTTTTCTTCCTCTATTTTAATAACAGACATTGGCGCGATAATGATGTCCGCCTCTGATCTGTCCTTGTGTAGCGAGACGTAAACACACTTACCCTCCCAAACATGGTAATAGACCCTTCTTTCTCGGGTCTAAGAGGCCAGAACGGGGAGGATAGTTAAGAACAGACAAGGGAGAATTTTTTTTTTCTTAGATACTTCTCGGTGTTAGGAGGTCACATCACAAGGTGCCTACGTGTCTGTCTGAAGAATTCTCCTGGGAATGGGACGAATGTGACACACGGCCATTGGCATTTTTCTCGAAAATACAGGAAAAAAAAAAGTTTTAGAACGGAATAAATGAATTTTAAATTAATTTATTTTCTCAATTCATCACAGAATAAAAACACAAGAAGGAAGAAAACCGAAGATGATGTCATCTACTCGCACACGGAAATACATTACACAAACTCTACACCTTTTTTTTTCGGCTTCCAAATCGATAAAATAAATCAGTAGTATCAGATTAGAAACGATTAGGTAAAAGGTCAGAGAGGTGGTCACAAAATTAATCTCCGGTCAGTCGTGTGTTTGTCGGTCTTAAGTTAGATAATACTAGTTATTTTCGTAAAGCTTTAATCAGTCCCGAAAAGAGTGGACGTGGCATTAGTATCCATGTGCGTGTCCCCGATCTTCGGCTGAGTCATGGCTGCATGTACTACAGGAACTTGTTTGTGACGTGATCTTTTTACCACGCTGACAGATACGGGCATCGATGTTGGATACTTGCCAAGCTGACGTCATTGCGCTGATATACGTGAATATCCGGCGGATCGGCAGCAGATACCAAAAGAGAATGCGTGCAATATCTTATCGGGGAGTAACGTTTTTGGAACCGTGGTGTGATTTTTATGTTGCTGCAACCGGTAGATGGCGTGGCGTGGATTTTAAACAAACAGATACCGAAAGTACCGGAGCTTTATGTTTGTTAGCTCTTACGTATTTGTTTGCGTTTCTATTCCATTTTCGTCTCGATAAAATGCTTAAGTTTAATTACCCCGGGATGGGGTTAATAACTTCGTATTTGCTTTTATTCTTTACCACAAAACATAATCATTTTAAAATATTAATTCATTTTAAACAGTGTAAAGTAGCAAAAAGAACCTCCCCGAATTTCTCGTGTGTAATTTTATTTGTTTAATTGTAACCTTTGTTAAATTAATGCGGTTCTTACTAGTCTCACGGAGTTACTACCTGTAAAATAAATTAATTATTTTCTTTTATTTTTTAAATTAATAGATATAGGATGCGCTTATAAAGCATTATATTATCATTTCACATTTTTCTTTTTATCATTTAAATACATAAATATGATAAAAGGAAAATTTATCTTTCGTAGAATATCTAAATTCGCACATTTTTTAATTAAATAACTTTGAATTTTAAATGTAATCTATACTTTTATCATTTTAAATGATCCTGAATTTGTTTTAAACTTTTCCTAACACTGAAAATACATCGCTTTTTTAACTGGTGGTGCCATCTGTTAGAATAAAATAAAATTACTTTTAATCAAATTATTTTTTCGATAAAGTTTACCTTTTGAAATTTTGTCTTGTATACAAATAAATGTTAATATGCGTTGTATTATATAATAACTATTATTTATATATTTTTACTGGTTTATTTTTTACGCATTATTAAGAAATTTATTTTAAAATTAGCAAAATGGAGACTTTACCGTGTAAAATCTAATCCTTGAATTTGTCCGAAGGATGAAAGCAATGTGTAACCTTGCAAATTCAATCACGTATAATTTGCCGTTATCGCATTCAAACACAACCAACGTTGATTTATTTCACATTTGCATGCAATTAACTTATTGGATGCATCATTTATTCCACGTTTCCACAATATTATTTCGTTCTTAAAAATTCTTAAAATGGGTTTATCATGGTGGAATACAGACATTGATGATTACGATGCCTTTGTTGTTCTAGAATAACAGTCTTAATGGAGATCAACTAGGCAAAGAATGGCTCATTAAACACGCATTATATACACCAAAAACGATTATCTAGTCTTAAATAATGTACTAAATTTTCGTATGCCAGTCGAGAAAGAAGTTTTAAATCAATTTTATAACAATTTGATTGGCTATTTAAATGCAAAATGACTACTATTATCGAGACTAACTATTGGCTTATGCACAGTAATGACAAAGACATTAAAATATGCTCGTAATTATGTTTTACGAAAACTTTTCTATAGTGATACGTAGATTTTCTAACTACAGAGAATATATTTTAAATACTTCATAATTTAAAAATCACTTATCATTATAGAGAAGTAAGAATGTAATTTTTAAAAATTTTTACAGGAAATTAATTGAAGAGAACACAGAAATTCTTCATTTAAGATTTAGCCATTCCAAAGAAAAATTTATTTTACACG